ATGTTACCGAAATTCTTGCTCTCCTCTTGCTCTGGGATTAAGGTCAGTACAACAGGACTTGGAGGCAGTGCTGGTACACCCCACTAATGATACCTCCTGTCTCTATCCCATCCTCGCCCCCATGTCCTAGGCCATCAAGAGTGGCACAGAGGGTGGGAGCCTACACTGTACCAGTATTGGATGTTGTACTGCTGTTTAAGTCTTTAGCAGATGACTTTGAACCTCACAGTTAAGGGAGGGATGGGTTTTGGGCTCTGTCTCTGCTGGAGTCCTCAGTCCATCGCCGTTTTCTTTTTTTTCTTCTTCCTTTAAATTAACACTTCCCTTCCATTAATAAAATTATTTCCACTGGAAACTATAAAAATGGTTGCTCTTTGGCAAGTCAGTGAAGAGAGACAGGCAGAATGTTCTAGACTCGTACATCACAGCTTTTCTGAAACTCCCCTCTTCCTGCAGCCTCTCTCTGCCACTGACCTCTGGCCACAGCCGAATGGATCAGGGTCAACACCATCACACAGCCTCGGCCAGTCAAATCGTCTCATTCCTGCAGCAATCTGAACTAAGAGGTTCAGGGCTGAGTTAGATGGTGTTAAGCCCTGGAGTCACAAGGCCCTGAGGAGCTGGGAACAGAGATAGCCCAAGACTAAGCCAGAGCCACAGGCAAGTAGACGTTATGAGGAAACAGAAATCAAGAGCCTTGAAGAGCAGCTATACCTTGTGATGCACTGAAAGAAGCAGACAAGAGACCACATGACCTCTGAGAGAAACAGAAACAAGAGGGACAGCCACTCTTAGTTCTCTATTTCCTATAAAGCCTGACCCTTCCTGCCATGGGTTCCATAAGCTTCCTTTATGCATACTCTTTTCCAGTTGCCGTAGAGTTGACTCCAACTCATGGCGACCCCATGTGTGTGTCAGAGTAGAGCTGTGCTCCACAGGGTTTTCAATGGCTGATTTTTTGGAAGTAGATAGACTGTCAGGCCTTTCTTCCAAGGTGCCTCTGGGTGAACTTGAACCTCCAACCTTTTGGTTAGCAGCTGAACACTTAACTGTAGCATACTAATACGAATAATCCCTATTTATTCTTGAGCTAAAGCTTGACTCTGAAACTTGCTCTTGAACGTAGAGTAGCTAAAGCAAATGGAAGAAACGATGATGTAAAAGAGCTGTACAGAAGATTTCAAAGGGAGGCTTGAGAAGTGAAAGTGAAGTATTATAATGACATATGCCAAGACCTGGAGTTAGAAAACCAAAAGGAAGAACACGCTTGGCATTTCTCAAGCTGGAAGAACTGAAGGAAAAATTCAAGCCTCGAGTTGCAATTTTGAAGTATTCTATAGGCAAAATATTGAACAACACAGGAAGTATCAAAAGAAGATGGAAGGAATACACAGAGTCACTGTACCAAAACGAAATGGTCAACATTCAACCATTTCAGGAGGTAGCATATGATCAAGAACCGACAGTACTGAAGAAAGAAGTCCAAGCTGCATTGAAGGCAATGACGAAAAACAAGGCTCCAGGAATTGATGGAATACCAATTGAGATGTTTCAACAAATGGATGCAGCATTGGAGGTGCTCACTCATCTATGCAAAGAGATTTAGAAGACAGCTACCAGGCCAACTTACTGGAAGAGATCCATATTTGTGCCCATTCCAAAGGAAGATGCTCCAACAGAATGCGGAAATTATCGAACAATATCATTCATATCAAACACAAGTAAAATTTTGCTGAAGGTAATTAAAAAATGGTTGCAACAGTACATTGACAGGGAACTGCCAGAAATTCAAGCCAGATTTAGAAAAGGATGTGGAACGAGGAGTATCATTGCTGATGTCAGATGAGTCTTGACTGAAAGCACAGAATATCAGAAAAATATTTACCTGTGTTTTATTGACTATGCAAAGGCATTCCACTATGTGGGACCATAACAAATTATGCATAACATTGCAAAGAATAGGAATTCCAGAACACTTAATTGTGCTCATGCGGAACCTGTACGAGACCAAGAACAGAACAAGGGGATACTGTGTGGTTTAAAATCAGGAAAGGTGTGTGACACGGCTGTATCCTTTCACCATACTTATTCAATCTGTATGCTAAGCAAATAATCTGAGAAGCTGGATGTCTTAGTTATCTAGTGCTGCTATAACAGAAATACTACGAGTAGATGACTTTAACAAACAGAAGTTTATTCTCTCATAGTCTAGGAGGGTAGAGGTCTGAATTCAGGGCACCAGCTCCAGGGGAAGGCTTTCTGTCTGTGTCCGCTCTGGGGGAAGGTCCTTGTCATCAATCTTCCCCTAGTCTAGAAGCTTCTCAGAGCGGGGACCCCAGATCCAAAGGACACGCCCTTTTCCCAGCGCTTCTTTCTTGGTAGTATGCGGTCCCCCTGCTCTCTGCTTGCTTCTCTCTTCTATATCTCAAAAGAGATTGGCTCAAGATACAACCTAATCTTGTAGACAGAGTCCTGCCTCATTAACGTAACTGCCTCTAATCCTGCCTCATTGACATCATAGAGGTAGGATTTACAACGCACAGGAAAATCACATCAGATGACAAAATGGTGGACAATCACACAATACTGGGAATCATGGCATAGCTAAGCTGACACACATTTTGGGTGGGAGGCGGTTGACACAATTCAATCACTAACACTGGACTGTATGAAGAAGGCAGCAGCAGGATTGAAAGAAGCCTCATTAACAAACTGCGATATGCAGATGACACAATCTTGCTTGCTGAAAGCCAAGAGGACTTGAAGTACTTACTGATGAAGATCAAAGACTACAGCCTTCAGTATGGATTATATCTTAACATAAAGAAAACAAAAATCCTCACAACTGAACCAGTAAGCAAGGTCATGATAAACGGAGAAAAGATTGAAGTTGTCAAGGATTTCATTTTACTTGGATCCACAATCAATACCCATGGAAGCAGCAGTCAAGAAATCAAACGACATATGCGTTGCGCAAATTTGCTGCAAAAGACCTCTTTAAAGTGTTAAAAAGCAAAGATGTCACTTTGAGGACTACGGTGCATTTGACCCAAGCCATGATATTTTCAATTGCCGCATATGCATGCAAAAGCTGGATAATAAATAAGGAAGACTGAAAAAGAATTGATGCCTTTGAACTATGGTGTTAGCAAAGAATATTGAACATGTCATGGACTGCCAAGAAGTACAGCCAGAATGCTCCTTGGAAGCGAAAACGTACTTTGGGCATGTTATCAGGAGGACCAGTCCCTGGAGAAGCACATCATGCTTGGTAAAGTAGTGGGTCAGCAAAAAAGAGGAAGACCCTCAAGGAGATGGACTGACACAGTGGCTACAACAGGCTCAAGCACAGCAATGATTGTGAAGATGGCAAAGGACCAGGCAGTGTTTTGTTCTATTGTGCATACAGTCACTATGAGTCAGAACCAACTCGACAGCACCTAATAACAATTCTTGAGCTTAAGGTCCCTGGGTGGTGCGAACGGTTTGCACTGGGCTACTAACTTAAAGGTTGGTGGTTCAAACCTACCCAGTGGCGTTGTGGAAGAAATCCCTGGTGATTTGCTTCCATAAACATTACAGCCAAGAAAACCCTATGGAGTAGTTCTACTCTGTAATACATGGGGTCACCATAACATGAAGGCCACGGGTGTTCTTGAGCTTCTGTTGCGTGACTTCCTGCACCTGTGATCAATCAAAGCTCGACCAAGACATCTCCACGTTTTCTTCCTAAGCATCACTCTCCCCGTCAGGGCCCCAAAATTTAGCAAACACAGATGATGGCACCTGCTGAAACCAGGGCCAAGGAGGTGTGCTTTGATTACACATCCTTTGCAAAACAGACACAGGAACGTGTGCTCACCCTGATCGTTTTTTTCTCAAGAAGGGAGTTTATTGCAGGTTGGGTACACTTATAGAAGGCAAAATCTAACAATGAGGATGAACTACAGGGCCCATCAGCTTAGACGATGAGCAGGTAAAACAAATACACTGACTATGTACAATTATTAAAAAGAGCAAGGGAGTGGGAAAAAAGGAAAAACTGCCAGCAGCCTTCCCGAAGGTTAATAACAGAGGGTGCCCAGAACATCCTCCCAGCCACAGTCCTGACTGTTCATCAGATGCCTTTCCTTGGTCTGCGTGCGTTCCAGGCCCTGCTCCAGCCAAAAAGCAGCTGATGAACGGCGACACTGGCGGTATCAGGACACCTAGCTTATTCCACCCTGCTAGCGCTGGTTTGCTGAGAAAAAGCCTGCGTGTCCAGGGTGACTCCGCATGCGCCAAGCATTTCATTAAGGAACCCCAAGGATCAGTTCATTAGCATTTCCTAATACATATGTGGGAAGAATCAAGGGAAAATATACAATGTCCAGGGAAGAAGGTGACCTTCTCCTGTGGTCTGTGTTGTCTTCAGTTTGTGACGTTCCATCGGGCCCCTGAAGCACCTCTCAGGTTTGGAGTCAGTGTCTGATGACCGGAATGTCCCCTTAGGTGCTCATTTCTTCATTAGAAAGCCGGTCCCCTCCAACCACCTCAGCACAGGAAGGTGTCGCATCACCTCTCACAAGACACCCACGAAGGGACAAATGCAGTTGCAAGTTCTTTATAAGAAAAAAGGGAGTGCTCCAAGTTTACTTAAGTAAGGGAGAGGGCTTGATTCATCCGAAGTGTTTCTATAAAAATGCATTTAATACTGGATAAAAGCTGCACATTCTCCTGGCAAAGCTGTAAAATGTCCATTACACTGAAACCATGGATGATTGAAAACGAGAGCCACTCCAAATATCTGTCACCAGAGTGGACACCGCATAACACTCCAGGAACTGGAGGGCAGAGCCCAGAGCACCAGACGAGGCCAAGCCCACAGGCAGCCCTGGAGGAGGCCAGCAAACGTACAGACGAGCAGAGAGGAGAGAAAAGGCTCTTTCAGCGAGCAGGTGGGGCGGCGAGGCCCTGGGATGAGGGGGCTTCGGGCATCACAGCGGCTGTGGCCTGCAGGCTCAGTCCCGGTGGCGGCGCCAGGTCCCTGCCCGCTCACAGCCTGGGGCAGCGGGAGGGGAGGGCGGGGTGGGAGACTCGGGACAGTCATGGGGCAGGGCCGCCCCGCGGGACCCCTTGGCTGAGGGAGGAGCTGGAGCGGTCTGCTCTGGCCCGGCTCTGCTGCTGTCTGGACCATGCTTGCTGCAGAAAATCTGCCCCTCCTTATCTAGAGCCGTGTTCTGAGGAGACACCAGCAGAGACAACACGTTACCCCAGCCCAGCTCGGTCCCGGCTACCACGACCAGAGAGCACGACCAGGCATGCACTAACCAGAAACAGAAGAGGAGAAGTAACACGGGCGGCTTCTCTAGAGGAGAAGCAATGGTTTGGGTGGTTCGTCCTGGGCACAGGCTGCAGCAGGCCTCTGCTCCTAACACGACCCCGACCTGTGAAAACCCCGGGCCCTGAGGCAGGGCCTGGGCCCAGGGAACACAGCACTAGGAGCCTGTGCGGCAACTGAGTGAATGCTTCTCTAGCTCGGAGCTGCACCTGAGTTCTGAGTGTTTCTTCCCCAGACTGGGAGCCAAAAAGGATCCTGAGACAATAAGCAAACCTTATGGGGTGATCAGTCTTTGAAGGTTTACTTTTCTAAGGAAAATTCTCAGTCGTGGATTGAAAAGTCACTCACATGTCACATGAGTAAGTAACCCCCTTACAACCCAAGTAGCTGTACAGGCATACAGCCAACAAGTCATATGGTACAATATTAGAAATAATCATTTTTTAAATCCTCCCAGTCTCCTTACCGGCTCCTCTCTTCGGCTGGGGCCTTTTTAGCTTCTCACACCCCCAAGGTTTTTAATCTGCTCAGCTCCTCAGGGAGCGCAGAAACAGTCACAAATATGGCCCTGGATTAGGAGGTGAGTCCTAGTCTTTCCATTTTTTCTCCTTGGACTCAGGGTACTTCTTGCCTGTCCAGTGAAATCCAGCTGCACTGGACTGGGCTTTCCAAACAGAGGAACACCTTTAGCTAAAAGGGGCAAAGACCGGGAGGCATTCTGGAATCTAACTACCCTGGGCAGGGTAGGGGATGTGCTACAGATTTTCTCAGTAAAAATAAAAAGTATGGAGAAAATATGAATAAACAAGGGCTTTCTAAGACAGATTTGTGCCACTGCCCTAAGCACACTTGGTGTCAACTATAAAATGGGGTTCTCCATAGGCCCTTCCAAGGCCAAGCATTAATTTCTAAGGGCAATCCCAATGACCTGGAAAAGAGGTAACTGTGGCAAGGCCAAATCAGAAACTCAGCAGAGCCCTCTGATAAGCTGCCAAAGCTCCCACACCTCAGTGGGAACAACCCCCAGCAGCACTGAGACTGAAGACAGGCTGCCTGCACCGTTTTCTACCACACAGCCTCTTCTGGGTTGGAGGAAACAATGCCGGGGTTATTTCTCCTTTTCTCTTCCTGTTATTAGAAGGTGAATGTATGCAGCAGAACAAAGCGTTGCAGTGCAGTTAGTACATACCATCGCCTTGGACCTAGTCAGAGGGAAGCAATGCAGGCAGCGGGAGAGGCAAGAGAAGGGGGGAGAGAAGCAGGGACAGAAACTAGACTTACTTTAAACAGAAGCAACACTATTGAAACATATTGTCTATTTTAAATTAAAGAAAGAAACCCAAATCATTCCAATTTTTCCCCTGAAAGGAAATATAATCCCCCTCCATTATTCTGGGGAAAAGCAATCCATTTTAATTCACCCTGCCTCAAGGGAGCCCTGGAAGATGCAGAGTTTAACGAGGTTGTTTGTAATTCCCTTTTCTGCCACAAGGTGGCTTCTTCTCGTCACTGGGGCTGGGATGAGCCCGCTGGGGCCGACAGTGGAGCCGTCCTGCAAATTCTGTCCTAAGTATGCTGAGGAAAAGTCATAGAAAATGGAAAAGTAGTCCAAAATCACAGGCCTTTCTTAAACTCAAACCTCCTCTGCAGAGTTTTCTCTCATCCCAAAGGCTGAATGGCTCGACACTGTCTTACTAACAAAAATGCATCTTTGGAAACGTAGCTGGAAAAAGACAGCAAAAGCCTACATAAAGGCACCTGTGTTAATGCTCTCACCCACAGAGAGACGCTTTTTCACCTAAGTGGAAACCAGCATTTAGGAAAACCAGTGGCCTCCTCCTCCTCTGCACTCGCCAGCTTCAGATCTGGGAAGGAAGGCAGTGCGGCAAGCTGAGAATATTAAAATAAATCAAAGTTTTCCAAGGGTGTGCGCGGCTGGCTGCAGAGGATGTCAGTAAGTGCAGGAAAACCCACACCTGTAAGCTACGAGCTGGACGGGTCAGAAATCTGAGACAAGCATGCAGATTTAGGAGGGGCTGAGAATTAGAAGCTGCTCTGATGAAGCACAGCAGGTTTAATACCAGGATTCGCTTCAGGTTTTTCCACAGTCTCAACAGGGTAAAGAGTGAAACTCTGAAGTCTCTCTCAAACTGTCAAATCAAACTGTCAAACAAAATGTAGATAACAGCATCAACTTTCTTTCATCCTTATTTACCATTGGTATGCTATAGTTTTCTGACAAGAGCCTCAGGCACTAACTTGGGTTGCAGGAGGGTGAGGGGAAGAGAACACTAGAGGGTGACACTAAGTAGTAGGGTTCTATAAGTCATACAACAGTTATCTGATGATTCGACCTCGGAGCATTTATATACTAATCCCACTATTATCTGCCAGAAACCATGTAAGCCTCACACACATTTGAATACCAGGGAGAGTAATTTTGTGGTTACTTTTCATATAAAAAACATTTAATTCCAAGGACATCTGACTCCAAGGACAGCAAACACAGACAAATATTAATTGGTGAAGAGGATGATGACAAGGACACAGAAGCATTGCAAGCCTCCCACACACAACCATGCGCAGTCCACGTCCTGAGCTGGGTGAGAATTAGCATCCACATGGAAGCCTTCTCCTTGCCACTGCTTTCGGGAACAAGCCAAAATTCATAGGCAGCCTTGTCGCCACTGAGAACTGGAAAAGCCTTACTGATTTCTCCTGCGGGTACCAAATGGAATCATGCCACTCAGCAGTTCCTCAGAGCTAACAACCAGCAGAGTTGTGTAGGGAGCATGGGGTTAGACGGGGACCCTGCCAACACACTCAAAATGACAACTTAACACACATTTAAACACATAACCTTTTACAGTCACCACTGGAATTCCAAATAATAAAGCATTGCTCATTTACACAAACATCCAGTTAAAGCTAAGAGGGTTTGAAATTTGACTGTTGAACCTTTGGTCAGCCAAGGGAAAAACGGCACTTATAACCCACACAACCGCAGGCTTTGTCTGAGGGAGTCTAAACATCATTATCCAGAACAGAGCCTATATGGATCTTAGGGTGGAAGGACCATGTCATTCCAGGAGAACCTTGGCTAAGAGGTGGGCATGACAGGGCTGGCCACAGGCCTTTGGCTACTGATTCCTCTCAGGTCCCTGAGTAGAAAGGTGCCCCAGGCAATGGCAGTGAGCTCTCCTACACCCTAGGTACAGTCCTGTAAGGTTCTTTTCCTAGAAGACTATGAAGCTTAATTAACACGTAGTTATTAAGTTTTGGTGTGTGTGGTTTCCCTCCAGCTTCTTAAATCTCCCTTCTTTTGCTTTTTATGTTATATGTTAAGTGTATGAGATGTTAATGTATTTATTTTTCTAAATTTTACCAGAGTCTGCCTTAAAATTTAGCACAAGGCAAGGCTGCACACTCCTTATCCTACCAATTAATGTTACATCCCAGAAGTGAATCACTTGAAAATGTTCTCATGCTATTGGTTCAATCTAGATAGTTTTTTTCAAAGTGTTTCAGCTGTAATTCTGTGACAACCCAGCTTTCTCTGGCTTTCAGCCGAATACTGCTAACATGCTAGGGAAAACCACAGCTCAAGAGACCTTCCTGTTACTTTGGCGCAGAGCACCCCCCGAGACCTGCACATGTCACAAGTTCCAGTTTGGAAGTTCAGGCTTTGTCTGGAGGGTGGTGGGGAAGGCTTTCCAGCGGGGAATTAATAAGGGAGGTCCAAGTACATGCAGCCTTCCCTGAGGGAGACAGGACAATGAAAGCCCAGAGGGTGCTGAGAACACGGTGGATGCTCAGTAAACATACCACAGCACTTCAGATTCAAAAGGGGTGTGTGTGGGGGGTGTATATACATGGTATGTGGGGGCCGGGTTTGTGTGTGTGTGTGTGTATGTGTGGGTGTGGGGTGTATATATACATGGTATGTGGGGGCCGGGTGTGTGTGTGTGTATGTGTGGGTGTGGGGTGTGCATATACGTGGTATGTGGGGGCCGGGTGTGTGTGTGTGTATGTGTGGGTGTGGGGTGTGTATATACGTGGTATGTGGGGGCCGGGTGTGTGTGTGTGGGTGTGGGTGTGGGGTGTGCATATGCGTGGTATGTGGGGGCCGAGTGTGTGTGTGTATATGTGTGGGTGTGGGGTGTGCATATATGTGGTATGTGGGGGCCGGGTGTGTGTGTGTGTGTGTGTGTGTGGGGTGTGTATATACGTAGTATGTGGGGGCCGGGTGTGTGTCTGTGTATGTGCGGGTGTGGGGTGTGCATATACGTGGTATGTGGGGGCCGAGTGTGTGTGTGGGTGCGGGGTGTGTATATACATGGTATGTGGGGGCCGGGTGTGTGTGTGTGTGTGTGGGTGTGGGGTGTGCATATACGTGGTATGTGGGGGCCGGGTGTGTGTGTGTGTATGTGCGGGTGTGGGGTGTGTATATACGTGGTATGTGGGGGCCGGGTGTGTGTGTATGTGTGGGTGTGGGGTGTGTATATACGTGGTATGTGGGGGCCGGGTGTGTGTGTGTATGTGCGGGTGTGGGGTGTGCATATACGTGGTATGTGGGGGCTGGGTGTGTGTGTGTATGTGTGGGTGTGGGGTGTGCATATACGTGGTATGTGGGGGCTGGGTGTGTGTGTGTATGTGTGGGTGTGAGGTGTGCATATACGTGGTATGTGGCGGCTGGGGGTGTGTGTGTGTATGTGCGGGTGTGGGGTGTGTATATACGTGGCATGTGGGGGCCGAGTGTGCGTGTGTGTGTATGTGTGGGTGTGGGGTGTGTATTACATGGTATGTAGGGGCCGTGTGTGTGTGAGGGGTGTGTAGGGGTAGGGGGCATAGGGGATGTGGGGGGATGTGGTATGGGGGTGTGTGTATGCATGTGTGATGTGTGTGATCCGTGTGGTGTGCATGGTACGTGTATATGTGGTGTGTGTGTGGAATGTTTGTGTGGTGTGTATGTGGTATGCGTGTGTGTGTGGGGGGTGGTTTCCCTCCAGCTACTATCTGAACACCACATCCCTAGATGACAATGTGCCACGAGAACAAACTACCATTTTTCTCTCCTGTGGGGTATGAAACAGAATTTTTCCCAGAGGGTAAGGGGCTGTTAAGAGTGACACGGCTATGGAGATGGCCCATCACTAACTGTCAGGCTCCAAGCTGTTCCAAGTGGCCTTGTGGGCTGCCCAAGCCCCAGTGTTGTCAGGGTGGTCAAGGTGCTGAGACTCAGGCACCCGCCACCTTGGAAATCTGACTGTGAAGCTGATCCGGTAGCTCAGGTCCTGTGAAGGCACCCCAGCCTGCTCCCTGATTAGCAGTGCGGGCAGAACTGAGATGGGATACGCTCAAAGCTGGCATTATGGCCCGACTCCAGCAAGTGCTCAGGCCTGGACAGCAGTGCAGGGTAGACTGACTCATTTTTGGCTCAATTTCACTTTTTCTGCCCTTATGTTCCCTTTTGCTTCATTTACTTTAATGTTACTTTTCATTTTAATTTGCTGTGTCTATGGATTTAGATAAGCTACCTTAAAAACATTTTGGAAAAAGGAAAGTCTGAAAAAATACAGGGACCACTGTTACTAATTTCTTGTAAAATTTTACCAATCCTGACAACTAACGTTTTTTAATATAGTTCTGCACTTTAAAAAGCCCCCAAACTGTCTTTTACAAAACACTGATATTTTCACTTTTATGAAATGTGTTTAACTTTGGTTGTTCCTTGTCCCAAGTCCTAAACAATAATTCATGGCTTTAAAATCTATTTTGAAGCGTTGAGTTTGCCAGGGAGATCTTTCCTCTTGCCATAAATCCCACCAGGGCTGGGGAATCCTTCCCCAGACAGAGTAGAGACGAGAGCAGAAGCAGCTGCCCTGGAGGCCGAGCTCAGGTGAAGGGACCCCGAGTCATCAGTCGGTACCTGCACAAGCCCACCTCCAGCCCCGGGAGTCAGGCCAGATGAATGCACTTCACGTGGCAGCCAATCTGTGAAGTGAAATGAACCCAGGAAGATGGAAGGTGCCAGCTTCCACGTGAGAGGAGTTCTTGGCTATGGACCCCACAAGGTTCAATGACGGCTCAAGCAGTCAAGGCAGATGATAGCTTTCCACGGCAGACGTGTGCAGTCCACTTACCATGATAACAGAGACCCCGGTAGTGGTGCTGTTCTGTTTGGGGAACGCATTGTTAAAGTGCTGTTTTAGTTTACCTGTTACCTCAGCTTGCATATTATTTTCCTGGGAGGCATCATCCTGTAGGAAAAAAAAGGAAACCAATACAATGATTTTTGATCCTCAAGTTCAAGTTTTCTTTTCCTTAACCATAGTAGCACCCTACCTCCACTGCTTGCTAAATGGGCCCAACTTAGCCACGGGTTAGGGGGACAATGATCTTTTTTATAAATTATAAACTACTATTATTCTGTAGCCGCACAGACTCAGAAAGACCCTGCACCATTCACTCTGCTCTTCAGGTCTGAAGTAGGCCAAGCAGGGAGCACAGGGCTCCAACAGCACAGAGGAGGAAATTCTCCTGGCTTCTAAAACCCTCCCCCAAGGCACACATGTCATATAATTTAGTATAGATCCCTCCTGTGGAAACACCAAAATTAATTATCAGTTTATTATTTTAATCAAGATTCAGTTGTTAGTCTCAGAGCTACATGGTATCTAAGAGCTAAGACACAAGCTCAGGCGAGCAGCGAGCAGGACCCAAACGTCAGGATGTTGTGGGGCAGTGGAGGGGCACCCAGTCCCCCAAGTCAACAGAAGTCCTGGGCTCATAAATTAACTTCACTCTCCTGGAGCCTCCCAGGAATGAGGAAAATGCAAACTCTCACTCAACCCAAACAAACCAGCTGCCGTGGAGTTGACTCCGACTCATGGTACCCCTGTGTGTGTCAGAGTAGAACTGGCTCCACAATGCCTGATTTTTCAGAAGTAGATCAGCAGGCCTTTCTTCCCAGGAGGCATCTCTGGGTGGACTTTCGGTTAGCAGCTGAGTACGTTTTCACCCAGGGACTCCAAAGTCTCACCCAGTCACCACTTAATGAAGTGTGTTTACCCTAAATCCAGAGGTACCACAGAAGCCCAAAGGGAAGTCTATCCCGTCCTCTGCTTAGCTTTGGAAGCACTGTATCTTGGCCTTCCACTGAGCAGCAGGAAGTCCGTGGCCATGTGCCACGAAAACATAGAGCTCAGGGACTGAAACATGCTCATCTCAGAGCCCAGAACTACAGGATATGAGAGCAGAAAGGCTCCTCAAAGAACATCCCAGCCAACCCCTTCATTTTGCAGATAAGGAAACTGAGATGCAGAAAGGGACAGTGACTTGCCCAGGTCACTCAAAAGAGCAGGATCTGAAACTCTGGGGTCCTGCTGTCAGCTGCTTTCTCCCTGGAGCTGCCTTCATGCTACTTGCTCAGTAGGAGAGACAGACACCTTGTCTGCTGTGGAATGTGCAAAACTCAGCAGGTGCTGAACCATGGTGAGGAAGCATGCTGTTGGCCACAGAACGTACATTTACTCGCTAAGAAATGCTGATACTTACTGACACCCAGGGGTGACTCAGGATTTCTCCCGCAGTACACCGAGCTTCAACGTTTACCTGAAGCATATGACTGATTAATTCCTGGAAAGAAAGAAACAGGGAGAAAGAGGGAATCCCAGTATCAATACAGAAATCTGAGTTTGCACCAAGTACTCAAAGAATAGCCAGCACAGCTGCTCAACCATTTCAACTTAAAAAGCTATTATCGCTTAAACTCCTAGTGCTTACTAGGCATTTCTGTAGACACAGCTGCCTGCGCCAGCGGCAGTAGAAAGAAGAGGATGTCTCTCCTGAGTCCACATTAGCCTACTTCCCAATGACCAAGATGGTCTCTTCTAAGACTTCTGGTCATTATCATTGTTCCACCGTATGAAATCACAGTAGTTTTCCTTTTCGTGATTCGGTATGTCTCATTAGTTCATTCCTATATTTTGATGAGTGTCCAATCCATATTTCTTGAATAAATGAGAGAATGAACATGCAGAGCTTAAAGGAGAATGGGAGGATGGTAGAAGCGACCAGGAAGACAGCCAGTCCAACTTTCAGAATTTGGTTAGGAGCTTCAGAGACTATACCATGGGATGAACGTAAAGAAAAACCACACACTGGAAGTCAAGGAACTCCCCTGGAGTTCAATACTGATAGCTGCTACAGCCCCACACAACAGGTACAAAAAGGTGCTTCAGAGACCCCTCAACACAATACAATGCAGAGAAACAGGCTTATACGGGTACCTTTGCTGAGTCCGTGATGTTATCCCAGTAGGGGGCTGGAAACTCCAGCTTCCCAGCCAAGATCTGGTCAAAGAGATCTTCCTGGAGATTATTCTCACTAAGCCAATGACAAAGACATGGAAGATGAGTCAAAGTCACATACAGTTTTTCAACAAAATGCTCATGGGAAGAGAGGGGAGAGGAGTCCAGCCTCTTTGGCTCGGGCATTTCATACCTCAAATGTGTATCTCAACCGCATTTGTGATGGCACATGGCTCCTCTTAGAAAATGAACCACGCACATTCTCATAGGCCTGGGAGTCTGAGAGACATACACTCAAGGAGAAATGGAATCCACAAATAATGTAAACCCTTGCTTCAGAAAAGAATTTCAGCATCTTCCCTCACTTATTCTGTTATGGCAACAACAAGAGTGGAAAAACAGCAAATCTGAGTCAGAGCCCCTTGCCCTTGCCTTTTTCCACTTGTTTTTCAGTGAGACAGCCGAAGATCAGTGAAAGAGTCATCGTATGAAAAGGTCATATGGAGTTCAGAATCTGAATCAAATATTCATGAAATAATGAGCTCACCTTGAACTTGACTTCCATTTAAACCCAGTCTAAGGGAAAGAGCCCATCCGAGGATATCAACTAGAATTGCCCAGGTGGAGGCAAGCGCACCTCACTGCTCACAGGTCAGTATTCCTCCCAACCTGTGCCTAACAGTCCCGCCCTCAAAGGTGCACTTGCACACACAGCTTGTGCCTAATAACTGAATGCTGACTTGACTTTTTGATGGAAGGTGCCATGGAACTGCAAAAACCTGCTGGGAAGGATGTGGCAGCAGAATGTACCTGACCACCCAGAAAATGGCATCTCCACAGCCACAGGGCCACTGGCTGGTGGGTACCTGGATGGCCAGAGAGCAGAACCATTACCTTTCTTAGGCCATCACAAGGCTCCCATGCAGAAACAGAAAACTCGAGGTAGGCTGCTGAGGTCAAGATCAAAACCCAAAAGTGGAATTAAGTATTACCTGGTAAGCGTATAGCATTTCTCTTGGAATTTCCAGCAGAACCCTCTCAACAGCCTGTTGCTCAGGGCGCTCACCTGGGACCCCATGCAGCCTTCAGGACACGGGGCTGGCTACACTGTCAACGCTTTCAAGGGCGCAAGGGCAGGTATGTCATCCCCAGAAACAGACTGTTTACGGCAGCGTTTGGAGACAAATTCCGGGGTCCGGGGGCTGTGTGCTGATGTGGCTGCCTCATTCCTGTTCTATTGAGAAGCGGTTGTGCACTCTGTGAATATTCATGATGTTTAGTCAAGTCCAGCTGAACCCACATCTACAGGTCCATGGAGTCTGGGTCAAGTGGCACATCGAGAAGCACAAGTCAGGCTAGGTACCTAGTTAAGGCAAGAAATCCCCTTGCTCTCCTGAAAAGTGATTTTCTTTGACTGCCCACAAACTATCTCTCCTTAGGCGGCAAAATGTTTTATTTCCTTTTCAATGTTATTTCCCTGCTGATTAAACCTGGCTTAACTCTCCTTCAGAATGAGTAAAGAACACACCTAAGAACACAGTGAGATTTTACAGAAACTCTCAGAAAGCCAGAGAACACCAGGAGACCAAGATTTTAAAAGACTTTAAAAATGACCTATTTCCAGAATGGTTCCCTCCCTATTGTTCCACTCATCTCCCCTGTATTTTTTCTGGAATCTTAAAAAGCTTTGTTAATAAATAGCTAAAAAGCTAGAAACTGTCTGCCACAGTCACATACAGCAGTGGGTTCGTGCTAAAATAGCCAGAGTAAAAAAGCAAAAAACCTGGGAAGTCTCAGCAATTAGAATGGTGCCCTAAAGGATAGATGCTGTGACCTGCAAGGGCCTTGAGAGTTTTCATTATAAGAACATAAGAACAGAAAGCTAAAGATAATTTCTCCTTCTTAGTAGTCAAGTTAAAAAAAAAAAAAGCTACTCTGATGAACTCTATACAGGTTTTATTAACACTTTATACTCTACAGTCTGGCTGAGATGCTTCAAGGTGCTTTGCTATTCTAAAACTATATAGCCCTTGAATCAAGGTGCTGTAAGTCTAAAAATGTCCGTTAAGAAAAGCCTCAAAAACAACAAGAGTTTACACATACTCTCTCTCTTCTCAATGACAAGTTGTCAAAGGTCGGAAAAGGTAACCTGGAAATATTGTAAGCGATTTTGCAAATAATCAAGCGTTTCATTCATGTTCTTTGCTTTTTTAAAAAAAAAAATTTAAAAAATCTCAGTACAGTTATACAAATAATACTTTTTGTCAGTGGCCCTAAGAGTGGACCTGCTTAGGCAAAAACTCAAATTTTGGTTGCCTCTGAAAAATCAGGATCCTTTTCAGCAAAAATGAATCTAATGTTGAAAAAGACCAGGGGGGACACGTGTCGAGCTAACACTAAACCTCAAAAATGTGAAAGAAGAAAGAATGTGAGACGTTACAGCTAAAGAAGCTAACATGTAAACTCCAAGCACTGATTTTACCTAAAACGCCTTGGATTAAAACTGTCTATTGTGGAAAACAAAGAAAACATTTTGGAATATTTGTTTGAAGGACTTTCTGAAGGTACACATTTATGTAGATAATCTTCTTTTATACCGTAATTGTTTAAAGTATCATTTCTGTAATTTTCTATATACATTTTTATGTTATAGTAGGCTACAAAATCTATCCACAATGTTTCTATGCTGTGAAGATGCTTCTGTAGCTAGTAGTTAAGATTATACATTCTTTTCATTACAAGACGATATGAAAAAGGAAAAGCATTTTCTTAAATTTCAGAAGTGAATTACCCAGAGCTCCATGACCAGCTTGTGAATAAAACATGTCAGGACAGCAGCTTTCAGAGTGTCACTTTACTGCTTTTGATTAGCCAGATCCCACAAAGAAATTGTTGTCCACTGGGTGACACTTCATGACAAATACATACTGTTCAACCTGAGTCTCACTTTTGTTAAAAAAGTAAAAAGCAAAGTCAAAGGAGAAAACTCCAGGCTGCACCGACAACTGGAAACACTAGAGGGAGTTGTGAGCATACACTCCTCTAACTGATTCCTGATACCTTTTTTCAACTGATCTCAACTTGGGTTAGTCAAGGAAAGAAACTGCTATAACTGCCCCCAGGACCACCTGCCATCAAGACACATGACCCTTCTACACTTCATTTGTTCCCAAAACTAGCCAGGACACAGTGTGATTGTAAAAATGGTCACAAATTATTCCCCTTCCTCTATATATCTACTTGGAGTCCCTGGGTGATATAAACAGCTTGGCTGCTAACCAAAAGGTTGGTGGTTCGAGTCCACCCAGAGGTGCCTTGGAAGAAAGTTCTGATGATCTCCTTCCGAAAGACCAGACAATGAAACCCACGTGGAGCACAGTTCTACTCTGAAAGACATGGGGTCGCCACAATTAGGAACTGACTCGGTCAACTTTTTTTTTTTTAAATATATGTACTTAATGAATCTTTTACCACATTTACTCTAGGCTTAGCTATTTGACTTGAGTTGACGATGGGAAGTGAGCAAATCTGATGGAAGCAGAGACTTGGAAAGTGCTTGTGCAGTGGGCCTTGCCCTCTCTCTGGCTGCTTTTAGGAATTCTACATCCACCATCATATGAACAAGCCCAGGCGAGCTCAGTGGATGATGACAGGCACATGGCCAAGTCATCTCTGTTGTTCCAACCGACATACAGCCAACTGTCAGACATCTGAGTGAGGCCATCCTAGACCATCAAGCCCCAGGTGAGCCAGCAAGATCAGAAGAATGCCTAACCGATCCAAAGAGTTGATTTATGCCCCTAACTTTTGGGGTAGTTTGTTACTCAGCAAAAGCTAACTGCAACCCACTGAGGCAATGACGTAGGAAAACCATGGTGTTCACAGTCAGATGGAAAGAGCTTTCAACCTACAGAATCCCGTGACACTATGAGGTCCGACTTAAATGCTACATCTTTCATTCAACCTTTTGTGATTTTTAGCCCCCAACTAAGGAGCCCTGGTGGCGCAAAGGTTAAGCGCTCCGCTGCTGAATGAAAGATTGGCAGTTCAACCCTACCAGCCATTCTGCGGGAGAAGACCTGGTGATCTGCTCCCAGTAAAGATTACAGCTTAGGAAACCTTATGCGGCAGTTCCACTCTGTCCCGTAGAATCGCTATGAGTCAGAATTGACTTGACAACACACAACAACAGTCCCCAGTTGAGCATGCCCTCAGGCTCAGCTTATTTAATAATGATCAAAAATCTTGTGGTGTCTTTATACCATAAAAAATAAAAAAACCAAACCTGTTGCTGTCATTTCTGACTCACAGCAACCCTACAGGACAGAGCAGAACTGCCCCACTGGGTTTCCAAGGAGCAGCTGGTGGATTCAAACTGCCAACTTTTTGGTTAGTAGCTGAGCTCTTAACCACTACGCCACCAGGGCTCCCTTTACCCCATAAGGTTCGCAAAGATAGAGACTGACTTCTTTGCATGACTCTTGTGCTTACTATATAATGTCAATAAAATTTTGTTCAACTCACTAAAGAAAACAGAGTTTTAAAAGATGAACCTATTTTGCACTTACTGACCCTTACCCATTATTAGACTGTAAACGCCATGAGCTCAGGGATCAGGCTTTGTTCGCCACTGTATTCCCAGCACCTAGCATAGTGCCCGGCACATAAGAGCTACTCAATAAATAGCTGTAAAATGAACAAAGGAAGGGCTTTAAAAGGAAAAGAGAGCCCAAGAAAAATCAGAAGGAAACCAAGCCTGCAGCATTAGATGAGATTCTGATTCAATATAATTTGTTCCAAAAAAGTTGATAAAATGGATCAAAATGGCTGGGTCAACAGTGCTCTGATCCCTCCATCAAACACCCTAGCCCCCGCCAGCAGCCACCTCTACTCCCACCAGGTGAAGTGCATGGTTACCAAGAGTCAGTCTGTGTGTTCCCACGGCTGTTTATGCCAGACATATTTATAATTCTACTTCTTAATTAAATATTTGAACTGATGCATTTAAAAAGAACGAGTTCCTGTTCCTAGGAGAACTCAGTTGAATGTTTTGGAAAGATTATATGAAAGTCTGAGTTGTTTAAAAAACAGCTGTCTAATTAAGTAGGAGAGACATCTGTCAAGAATTGGGGAGAGGTTCATGAGAAAAGATTCCAATTGCTTCTTGATTCTGACCCTATAGGACAGAGTGGAACTGCCCCATAGGGTTTCCAAGGAGCACCTAGTGGATTTGAACTGCCGACCTTTTGGTTAGCAGCTGTAGCCCTTAACCACTGCACCAATTGCTTCATAAGGAGCTTTAAGTCCTCATTCTACTTTAAAAAGACTGAGGTTAGAAACTGTAGATAGCATTGATGTGTTTTATGAAAGAAAGACCACAAGGAACTCAGAGGGCCATACACAAAGCAAAGGTCTTGACTTCACATCAAAAGTTTGTCCAATCAATAGAGATTAATAGGTTTTAAGATACAAAGTGAAAGGTTATCCATATGAGGGATATTATTCAGCCATAAACAGAAGTAAGTTCTGATATGCGCTACACGAACAAACCTTGAAAACATTCACGAAATTTAAGTCAGACACAAAAGGACGAACTCTGTATGGCCTAACTTACAGGAAATACTTAGAATAGGCAAATGCATGGAGAAAAAAATGGATTAGCGGTTACCAGGTGCTGGAGGAGAGGAAAACGGGCAGTCGTTACTTAAGGGGTGCTGAGTTTCTGTTTACGGGAATGAAAAACATTTGAAAGTGGACAGTGGTGATGGTAGCACAACATGATGAATATAATTAATGTCACTGAATCGTACACTTAAAAATGGTTAAAACAGTAAATGTTTTGTTATACATATTACCACAATAAACAAAAAGTGAAAGGTATGTTTCTACAGCAAAACCTGTGAAAGCCGGAACCCGTGTAAGGCAGAAACCTGTCAGAAAGGAAAACTCGAAATATTTTTCACTAATAGAGGGCAACAGAAGAGGGGTAAGACTGCACCCTGTCAAAAGCAGAAAACTTTCAAGATCCAGAAAAACAAGGCAGTCTCGTGAAGTTCTGGCTCTCACAGGTTTTACTGTGTAATTTTTAACTAAATTTTCAGTTACCAACCAGTTTCAAGTTGTGATTGCCAGGAGTAGTGTCTGTTTCCAGATCAAAGGGAGATAATCTACAATCCGATACTGCCTCTCAAAGGGCACTGACCTTCGGAATGGTGGGAATCCACACAGCAGTATGTAGGTGATCACGCCTGCTGCCCAAATGTCCACCTTCAGGCCATAGCTAAGAAAACAAAGCGGGTGGGGAGGAGGAGAAACAACCATATTACTCACCTACCACTCCCAGGAACCCTTCGTGTCACTAGACTACTGCCTTCGTTTGTCACGAGACAGGGTCTTTTCAGTGCAAACTGCTGATTTCACGTACAGGAATTAACTGCCCTTTGGTCAAAGGGACCCACCTTTCTCCCAGCCTAATCACAGTCTTGGTGACTGTCACCATATTCCCAAAGTTGGTCTTGGGAAAACAGTCCTAGCCTAGGGCTCTTGGCCATAAAAGCACAAACTCTAGTTCCTGAGGTCAAAGCCATCCTGCAGATAACTGTCTCTCCCTCCTCCTCCACCTTCACTGGAGGCATGTGAATACACAAGTAGCAACAAAACTACACCTTTCCCAATAAAAATTCAATCACTAACCAACCCCACCAGGAGTCTTACCCAGTTTCAGCAATGATTTCTGGAGCCACGTAAGTTGGTGTGCCACAGACTGTGTACAAAGGTCCTTCTACCACAGTAGCCAGCCCAAAGTCTCCCAATTTCAAAGACTTGGTTCCATCAGGATATTCACACACCTGGAACAGAAACGAGCTGATAATCAGAAGTAGCTCCCCCAACTCCCCGCAATGATTACAACACAGCCTTTGCAATTGGGCTGAAAGGCACAGATGTAATTATGAGTAAACACAAAAGAAATCTCTTTTCTTATGCTATTAACGCCATAATTTATCTCTGTGCTTTAAAGCTCTAATTTTTTCTCTTCAGAGATCTTGCATGATTGTGTGAAATTTGAAAAAGACAGTTATTTTCCATCTCTGCAGAAAATTCCTTACTTAGGGGTACAATGAAAACGCTTGAATGCATACACAGTAGTTAAGTGTGTAGGTGACTCATGCGTGAGGTGGCCTGAAAGCTGCTGCTAAGCCTGGGGATGGGGAAACTGGTCTTTGTTGATGGTTACTGTGAGGTACCTGAGAGTCTAGGAAATGGTGCTTCTTAAGAGTCCACCAAAGCACTGGGTGTTCTCCAGGAGACTTGCTTGTTTAATTTAGGAAAGAAAATTAGGGATGTGGGTAGGGGTTTGTTCTATGGACAGTCAATGATGAAATATAAATATCACACAGGGAAAAACTTTGGAAAATAAACCTTGGGATCAGATAGCACTGAACTTGAATCCCCTCTACTCATTTTCTGGTTGTGTAACCTTGGAAAATTACTTAACCTTCTGAGGATATCTGTTCATCTGTGAAATGGGGATAATAGTACCTGCCACACGGGGTTGGTGCGAGAATGAAATGAGATGAAGCTTGGAACAGGGCTCAATAAACATTTCTACCCTTTCCTGGAAGGACTGACTGATTAGATAATTATATTCAAAAATGCTGATGAAGATGTGAATGTTTATGCTTAAAACACCCTTTCTAGAAAGCATTTCAGCAATATGTATCACGTTTCTTAAGATTGTTTATAACCTTCTACCCAGTAAGTATACTTCTTAGGGGACTGAGAGGGACCCAAAGGTTATACACAAGCATGCCTATGTCTCAGAAATTATCTACGATTCTCTAAAAACTGGAAGCAGTGTAAATGACTGACAGGGTTGTTGTTAGTTGCCGTCGAGTCGATTCCAACTCATGGCGACCCCGTGTGTGCAGAGTAGAACTGCTCCATGGGGTTTTCAAGGCTGTGACCTTTTGGAAGCAGACAGCCTGTCTTCTAACATGCCTCTGCATGAGTCTGAACCGCCAACAGGCTAGTAGTCCAGCCCTTAACCCTCTGCGCCACCCAGGAACCCCTGGCTAACAGAGTAATGACTTAATAAATCACAGGACATTCCTATAGTGAAACATTATACAGTCATTAATAATCACTTTCAAAGTAAAAATGAATCATATGGGAAATATTCACTAATTGCATAAAATAAAAAGGAATATTCAAATTATATATACAGTATAATACACCAAAATGTTAACCAGTTTATGTCTAGATGGTAGCATTAAGGATTATTTTAACTGTCTTCATTATACTTGTCAATAGTTTCCAAAATGTTTACCAATATTGCTTCCATAACTAAGAATTAATTTTATATATAAGTAAACTTTCCTTATGGGAGAAAAGTCTGAAAGTTACATTCTAAATGAAAGCAGACGAGCACATATGAGAGCATTATTTATATTTGACTAAGTAAGATTGACCTATTTGTCTCTTGGGTGTCCATGTTGAAAGCACTGAATTTCAGAAAGAAAAAAAAAATAACTGCAGAGACCTAATCTATACTCATGTAATGTCTTTCTCTATTTTAAACTATGTAGTTTGCTTTTCCTTATATTCTACTATGAACTGAGCCAGGTTTTCATCTCAACCACTACCTTGTAAAGGAGGAGAAATATTTAAGAAATGATGTTTTTCAAGATAAGCATTGTTAACAACGCCATCCATTAGTCAGATACTTAATGAAGGAGAGAAATTTATATAATCATCAATAAAAACACCAAGAACCTTAGGGGTCCCCCTGCCAATGATGTCCAATCTTTACAGGTATTTTGAAAGGATGATACTAAAATTGTTTTCCTCACCTTTGATAACCTCATCAGTTTGGTAAGAATATTTTTCACCTTCATATTTTAATAACTTTGTCTATTTTTATGTACTAAATATACATACCCAATATACATCTTTATGACTTCTAAGTACCTATAGGAGTAATGGTGAAAATTTTGAGTCCCTCACAGACATTTATAACTCTGAGTCAGCCCACAACTGAGCAGAAATATTTAGCCTCAAGCAACAGAGCCCAGGTTCCAACTTATGCCACAGTCTTAGGATGACTTTCCATCCATTATGTTTAATGTAAACATTAATGAGAACAATCTGATATACCAAATTACAGTCAGAATTTATGATGCATTTACCAAAACCCAGACTGTAGAAAAAAACACCCTAAGTAATTGCGATGATAAGAACATTATAAGCAACATTTTCTAAATGTCTGTATCCATGAGAGTAAAAAAAACACAAGTTTTATTAAAGCCATTGTTATTTTGTTTTTACAACTTAAAAATACACTTATTAGGTACTTTTTTGAAAAATAGTGTTTGTTTTAAACATTCAATTTAGAGATGCCTAGGGCTACTTGGTGGTGGTTGTCAGAAACTCAGGAGTCCCAGAAGCCCCATTTTTCACAACTGCTATAAGAAACTCAGAGTAGATGCAGGAGCATAAATACAAAGGGAAAGAACAGTCTGTAATCACTGAATGACGTCTCGGCGAGTCGTGCTCCTTGGCTAAACATCAAAAGGGAAGTGTCATAAGGGGCAGACAAGCCAGAAATCATAACATTTTATCTGATTCATTTCCCCCCAGTGCTAGCCATAGAGGCAAATATGTGAAAGATAATATGAGCAAACTTCAAATCTTAGCTGCAGATTCTCTTCAAAAGAGAAATGAATATATGTGTATATATACATACACCAAAACCAAGCCAAACCCATTGCCATTGAGTCAATTGCGACTCATAGTGACCCTACAGGACAGAGTAGAACTGCCCCATAGGGTTTCCAAGGCTTTAATCTTTATGGAAGCAGACTGCCACATCTTTCTCCCACAGAGCAGCTGGTGAGTTCGAATTGCCGACCTTTCAGTTAGCAGCTGAGTGCTTAACCACTGCATCACCAGGGGTCCTCATATTTATCTATAGATATATACATAATATAAATTTCACATACACATACACACACATCAATCATTGCTTTAAGAGACTAATTTTAGTTTAAAAAAAAAAAAACCAACCCGTTGCTGTCAGGTTGATTCTGACTCAGAGCGACCCTATAGGACACAGCAGAACTACCCCATAGGATTTCCAAGGAGTGGCTGGTGGACTCGAATTAGGTGACCCTTTGGTTAGCAGCCGTAGCTCTTAGTAAAGAGGTATATAAATGAAGAGGAACTCCAAAGGCCTTCTGGCATAGAGTTCTGTTCTCCCCAGTAAGTGACATTCTCACAGGACTTCAGAGATTTCAATATTCACTCAAACATTATTATCTCACTGGACTTCTATAATCACCCTGTTGGGCAAACAGGAAAAGAACTGCTATCTCCATTTACAGATGTAGAAACCGAGGCACAGAGAACTCAAGTCACTAGTAAGTGGCCAAGGTGGGATTCCAACCAAGACCATTTCTTGTACTACACCATTCTGCAACAGATTCTGTATCTGGAAAAAAAAAAAAATCAGGTAGACTTATCAGAATGAACACTGACTGTGACCTGCACTTGCATACAGGTTTTGAGTGAATCTGAACATCACAGCTACAAGAACGCCAGTCCTGTAGTGTTCAAAAATGCCCCACCACAGGTGGAGAGATGCTTCCATTCAAAGTTGCCCTTAGAATGCAAAAATAAGAACTGTTTGAGGATTGCAGATCCCATATACGAAGTAAACATTGCACGATCTCTAAATAAAACGTCAACACATGATTTACAAGGACTTCAAATATGAGAAACCAGACCTCTTCTCTCCCCAGTCCCTAGAACTCCTGGAACGCTGAATTTATCACTGGTCTCTCACAGTTAACTCTGACAGGGCACCGCCAGGCTGTAACTCACAGCATTAATGGCCACCTCTGTGCTCCCTGACACGGAGACCCATACATCTCTGCTGGCAGGGGTTTAAATTACGGCGTGCTTCCAGAGAGGGGGATGCAAATCACACATCTGAGCTCTCTGGTGTTTAAAGACTGGATTCGGTTTTAGAGCAGGAAGAGGTTGGCAGTCACTGTGTCTCCTTACTTTTAGTGCCTCAGTGGTGCTTCCTCATCCAAAGCCGATACCACCCTGCTGACGAAATCTAGAATGTGCTGAGTGATCCAGTTAGGTTTCAATGTTGGAAACATATTTTACTTAGATACATGCAGCTAAGGCTGTTTCCGAAGCCTGATCCCAACAGTACCAGTTGTCACTGAGCCAATTTCAACTCATGCGACCCCATGTTTGTCATGGTAGAATTACACTCCATAGGGCTTCCAATGGCTTATTTTTTGGAAGGAGATCACCAGGCCTTTCTTCTGACGCTCATCTGGGTAGACTTGAACCTCCAATCCTTTGGTTATCAGCTGAGCATGTTAACTGTTTGCACCACCCAGGGACTCCACTTGAACCCATGGTCATTCTATTTCACACATTAGCCTAGTCCAAACCAGTGTTATCATCTTCCTCCTTCGCCTCCCCCTTGGGTAGCACTACAGGGTTGGTGCAGGGTCTCTACAGCATCTAGAACAGGTTAGACAAGGTTCCAACTTACTGGTTACTTTCTGAGACACATGATGTTGGAAACATCAATGCCCATTACATTATCCACCCATGATGCTTGACAAGAGGAAAGGAGGAAGTATCAGATTCTAAGGACACTTAGCACACGTTAAGAAACTGTGAGTAGATAAAGGGGAGAAGTGGGAGGTGAGGTTGGGACAAGCCAGCTGGGAAAATAAATAGACAGCCCCCCACACCAGGTTTTCTGAAGAGCCTTGGTGGCGCAGTGGTTAAAGTGATTGACTGTTAACTGAAAGGTCAGCAGTGT